ATTTTTGCTCTCCCAAAATGTGAAAAACATATCTAGTTCATTTTTAACCACTGCAGTTTTTCAAGCCTATTCCCCATTCCAGTTTATTAGCACATTCTAAAACTCAGACTTTCGCTGCAATGGAAACGACAACATGCAAACAGTGTACCAACCTTACTTCCTGGTTCATGTGATGATAAAAAATACTTTATAATGCAGACAGCTCACATCAGTCTCATTTTGAACTGCTTTTACAACAGGACTATATTGATATATGACATACTGATCTTCAGACATTTAATATTATTAACTCAGTTTAACTCAATTCACTCAATTAACTAAAAAAGACAACTTTCTTCCTTCAAGGTCTGATCTCTGCTTCAAACCACGTGTTCATTGACAAAGGACTGACTGCAGACCTCTCGATGGTTATACATGGCTTAATTTAAATTTCAATTCCAATTTCAATTTCAATTGAATTGTCCAGGCCTATATGTCTGTACTGGGGCAAGACACTTTTTTTCATTATAACATAAAAAACTGCCCCTTTCAAGATGTCTGTGATTAATGGTGTGTGTTGACCCTTATTTCACTGTGTTCTTTTGACTGATATGTGATACTTGATCAAACTCAGTTCCTCTGTCTTGTATGTGCAGGCCTTTGAAGCAGCCCTGTCACATTAGAAACAGGCTCAGGGCTCACACAGCTGCCATAACACAGTCCTGTCCTGTAGCTCCGCCCCCTCCCTCCTCTCACTGTCACAAACACATTTAACGCTATAGGCATGACCCCACTGTACGAACACATGATGTCATAATGAAACATGATTCAAGCGTGTGATTCACATAGAGCCTGCTCTGACAGATCAAAACCAGCCATCTGGACTAAAGTGGCCTAGCAACACAGAGATGGGAAACTGTGATAATCTGATAAATACACGTGCATAAAGATAGTGAAGGAACTGAAAACCATTTTGTAGTTTATTGACATAGGGCAATGAATGATTAATTAAAATCTTATTACTATATTTAGTGATGACAGCCAGGCTGTAAGAAGCAGTAAAGGAAAACATATGGGCACCAGTCATACCCCCCCATGCTTCAGTGCACAGCGAGTTATGAAAAGATCCTGTCCCATAACAGCATAATTGACTATGGTAACTTTAAGTAAGTTTTAATTTATTAATTAAAGGTTCAGTATTACACAGAATTGACTCTTGTGAGCTTTTAGCCACTCTGTACAGCAAAATAACAGCAATCTTTACCTTCTGTTCTGTAGGGATTGGCAGTTGCAGGGCTGAAATGATCCAAATGACTCTAGTGTGTAGAGTGATTTCAGAAAATAGCCCATTAAAGGTTCAACATGCAACTTTTCTGGTGATATGCCACCTGCTTGTTTCCTCAGAGATGTTACCTTGAATGCCTTGAATGTAACTTATTTATCTAATTGAGTCAAGCAGGTTCTGTGACCAGGCCAAGTTAGAAGACAAATCTGTAAAGTCTGTATATGTACTTACAGTAAGACTGCATTCTTTAAAGGTATTTTTGAGTAAAACACTAGATATGTTTTATACATTACTGAAGAACATAATAGACAAAGCAATAACATCTCCATGGAGTCAAGCAAGCACATACCCATCACTGCAAAAGTTACGCAATTCACGTTTGTATCTGCGCAGCCGAAGTGCAATGAAGTAAAGTCTTGGGTCTCAAAAGTTGCAGTTACTCATCAAACATCGAGCATTGAGGGTTTTTTTTTTTTTTTTGGTACTAAACAAGAAAATCTGTTGGCCTATAATAAATATATTTTGCCATTATTTTGATTTGACATCATTGGACTTGAATGTGTTTTTCTCTTACAACTTGACCCCTCATTCCAGGATAGACTTAAAATGTGTTTGTAAAGGCTTTCAAATGGTCCAGTGTCATTGTAATAGACTAGAGCTGTCACTTGCTGAAAAACAACTTGCTTTACTTCAGTCTATCGCCAGTTTCCACGACATAAAGAGTATAAACAGATAAAAAGCACAGCTACAAGAAGAAGTCTATAAAACCCACTGGCACTGGCGACAGTCTGCCCCCCTCGTTTGAATGCTGCTTTTCATTACTCGAACGTGATTGCTGAAACATTAGGAGAGCAGTTAACTAAGCCCGGCCCTTATTTTGCAAAGTCTCCATGGCAACTTAAATCTATGTAGGCGCTGGAAATACCCCAATTTACCCCTCATTTATTTAGCCTCCTCTTCTGCGTGAACTAGAGGAGCAGGAGTGAAAGGCTGGAGGGACCTATGTCTTTAGGTTATCATGCTGGCACTGTGGACAACAAAACAAAGAGCTTGAATTATCTATTGAATTTTCTAGGTTCTAGTAATGTCTGACCTCAGAGGATGTGGCATTTGTTTAAATTTCTTCACATACAGTGAGTTAGTTTGTGGTATCTGCTGTTCATGTGTTAAAAGTTTTATTACAAGTTATGAAGATTTTATAATGACCACATATTTTCATCCACATTCAAAAGTGACCAGCAACTTTAAACATTTGTAAAATATTTGGTAAATTTTGCATGTATACAATTACCAAAAGAATCTTTTGAGAAACTATATATCTATCTATCTATATATATATATATATATATATATATATATATATATATATACACACACACACACACACACACACACACACACACACACACATATATATATATATATATATATATATACACATATATACACACATTTTCTTTTTTTTTTTTTTTTTTATGAAAATGTGATTCTGTTGTTTATGCACAATGTATTGCATAACAAATGCACAAGATTTGTCTTTGGCTCCCTGACTGAACTGCAGCCTATTATCTTGACTGTAAACATTTAACTACAACCATATTAGGTAAAACAGTGGAGATCTTAGAAAGGATCTTTAAGACAAATGGGCATGTCCATCTCTATATTATCAGTTACAGATACAGAAAGCACTCACTAGTACCATCCACTGAGCCAAAACAGTCATAAAAACACACAATGTTTGTATTGCACAAATGAAATTATGCCTTATTAAAAAATAATAATAATATATATTTATATGTAGATATAATAACTTCTTATCTTGAATTTAATTGCTACTTTACATTATTCACAGTCACTGCTGTCAGTGTAAACATACAGTAATATATAACTTTAAGGATCTTGTTATGTCATTGTTTTACAGTTGTCTTCATTACTTTGCCACATTAGACTTTATAGTTGATGCTGGCCCATATTCCTGTTCACACAAAGCTGGTGACTTGGTAAAGTTGAAGATGGCATTTTATTATCTCAAAGGAAGACAAAATAGCTCCTTCTATAGTAAATGTGTACAGTTCACTAACTGTTTAACTTGTGTCTCCTTCTCAAAGCCTCTCTCTCTCTAAACTCTGCTCTTCCTGCTCAGCTCCTGACACTTGTTTTGTACATCAGCCTCAGAGCCAGTTGTTTACAGCCCTCCACATGAATTTAACTCTGTAACGCTGGTCACTCTGACTTTAGGCTTCAGTCAGCATAAAGAAAGGCTCTTAAAGACTGGCTGGTTCTCATGGTGGGGCACATTAACCCTTACATCTCCTTGTCCACGTGAGCTGCACTGAAAGCACACACATCCTCTGTTGAGGAGGGCCAGCGCTGGGCTCTGGACCCGGGACCATCAGCCGCTGAGTTCTTGTGTCAGGCAGATAATGTGATTTCCGGGACAAAAGTGGCCTTAACACCTCAGCAGCTCCTGGTGAAAGCTTAAGATAAACTTAAGAGGGGCAGTTCCTCAATACACTTCTCTGTGGGATCCTGGAGTTAGGGAAGCTACAGGAAAACACCGGCCTGGCACAAAATTTCACAGTGATGCTACAAGGGAAAACTGTGGACAACTGTGTAAGTGTGTTTCTGTCTAGACTGATATCCCTGTATTTCTTTAAACAAAGGAATATCAGTCCGATCACCATTGTCTATGTCACGCCTCAACCTCAAACGTGGCCGTACAGTCAGTTTAGTTTATTTCAGTGACACGTGTGAAAATGTCTGATCATTTTGATGGGGCTTTTAGTCTGTTTTAACCTGTGATATTGTTCCTTTCTTCTTCCTTCATAAGCAGCCAAAATTTGTTGTAGATAGATGGACCATGTATGATTGGCTAATCCACCTGTTAGTTATGCCCATCTAAACTCGTAGATTCAATGGTGAACAGACTCATGTCGGAGAAGTGTGCATCCTGGATTCCAGGCCAGAGTTTCTGCAGCACACAAAATACAACACAATTGGGAACGCAGTTGAAAGTGAGTCCCATGTTTGGAAATTCAAATTCATCAAGGTTAGCTCAATTGGCATTCACTATAATTACAGCCTCTATAACTACTGTATTATATGGACATGCACTTTAACCACAGATGTCAGATGCTAGAACTGTAATAGAAAAAAAGGCAAAAAACTGGTCTCAATTATTGCATTAACAAACTGAGACATCTGCTCCTCTCTTCAGCCTGTCCACTTTAAGCCTTTGTGGAATTCAGAGAATCTGGATCTTTAATTTGGACATTTACAAGAACAGATACCTGGAGCAACATGAAGACCGCTTTGGCTCAGACCCCAGTCACACAGGATTTGAGCTTATCTTCTGAATTTATTCACTCAGACTTGCTGTGTTTGTTTTTGCACACTTCACCAGAACAAAGAGTGTTATGATTTCACGCATTAAACTGCACTTATGGCTGATTAATCAAAACTGAACCTAGCCTTTGATTGTTGTTGCTGTTGTGGGTCACAGAGTTTGAAATGACGGCGCGTGTTGAGGTCTGAAACAGCAGGTCTGACTCAGCACAGTGTGTCTGTGGATAAATGAATGAGCAAAACTGGATCAAGACAAAAGGACAATGTCACTGCACACATACACTCATGTATATTATACTTTATTACAGCTAATTGGATGTATACACAGTATACAAATGACAACTGATAAAACAACATCTGTACATGATACACTACCATCTTTAAGTGGTATATATGTATGTATGGTCCCTCTAAACCAAAACAATGAGTTTGCAGCATATGAACAAATATATTGAACTGTTGTTCTTGATGATGTGCACAAGGAAATGTTGATGTAATGTATACAGTATTATTATGCTGCTAATGTGTCTTACAGTCTAGAGCAGCTGGTGAGGAGGTGACTGAAGCAGCCTGGCCCTGAAATTGAGATGGCACGTGGGCACTAATTAAATGTTCGTTTTGTGTTTTAATAATTAATGTTAATTAAACATATAATTATTACATAAAACATTGCTTTGAAGTGTTCAAGCCTACAGTGAATGTGCAGCATGCATGCAGCTCTAAGGTAACAGGACATTTTGTGTTACAGTGGAGGGTAATGTGAGCCAGTATTAAAACTATTTAGTAAAGTTCTTCCCTCTTAGGAGGGGTTAAGATATGGATTAATATTACATAGCTGTGAATGACGTCTATTGGTTTATACTTCTTTTTCAGATCTAAATAAATGTTTGTGTCAGCTCTTTCTGTAGATACAGTTCAGTGTTTCACATTTCACTGAAATGAGACACTCACAGGTCTGGATCAGACTCTCTGCTGTGGGGCATTTTAGTTCTGTCTATCTCACATATGTTGTATTGTCTGTGCAGACAGAGGTAGACTGACCATGAGTCAAACCTGGTTTGACAGTTTGGAGGCAAAGCTCCCATGATGCTCCACTCTGTTTCTCTCTAAGCCTCAGTGCATCTGGGCAGCAGAAGGTGGATATCACATCTGGCTGTAATATCCTGCTCATATGATCATTTATGATATGTTTAGTCTAACAAGGCTTCATGTTACACAGGTCCAGTTCCTGAGGCTTCCTCCGACCAGTGCAGTGCTCTCTGGGTAAGTCCAGACCGGTCTGGGTGATGCAGCGGATAGAGCGCCTCTTAAACCCCCTGCCACAGGTCTTAGAACAGGCAGACCACGCCCCCATGTCCCACACAGGACAGGGGTCCCCACAGGCCCTCACAGATAGGGGGCGCTCTGCGCTGTGACAGTCTGCTGCAGGGCGACCGTCTATGCTCTGACACTGTACCACGCGCCTCTGCAAACCCGTCCCACATGACACCGAACACTTCTCCCAGCTCCCTGACACCCAGTGGCTCATGGGAGTTTTATCCAGGACATGTTTCTTTGCCTCCACTTTGTTGTGGTCTAGGACACTGTTGTGTGACGTGTGACTCTTTTCTTCTTTGCGCAGACTCTTGTCCTCCTTGGTCTCCTTGGAGATGTAATAGGAGTACCTGACTCGGGGTGGGGTCATTTTGCCCACAGAGAGCACCTCCACAGTAATGGGCTCCTGCAGAGGTCTGATGGCCTGAAGCATCTCCACTGAGGTGGAGGTGCCGCTGTAGCGCAGCAGACTGCCCTTCACCAGGAGGTCCCTCTCCACAGCTGACACTACATAGTTCCCATTGAGCAGATACTGGCCCTGGCGGTTCTTCACTGCCAGATAATTCTCATCACTGACCAGGCCTCGGTATCCACGCTGACGTACATCAATGTTGGCAGCTCCCACAGGAAGCGTCACCACAAAGTTGTAGCCGTGACTAAAAGGAATGACAAGCAGGATATTAGCTGCCTCATAAACACTAGACATGGTGTGAGATATGTGTAACTTTGACATACGCGGGTTTGGTGAACATTCCTGAGACCTTCTTGCATCCCTGGTTGTCCCCTCCACACACTCCACACTTGTCAAACTTCTTATTGGAGTCCAGTCTCCCGTCACAGCCAGCCTTGATACATCTCCCTTGTACGCACACCGCTGTGGTATCAGGCGAGCATGGCGTTCCATCCACCACCTGCACAGTTCAAGTCAAAGATCACAGTCAAACTAATGATTGCTATTTATCTTGCACTAGCTGTATGTTTATTAACTCTTAACCTAAACATTATTTTTCTGGCTGTCACTGGCCTGTTTTCTTTGCATATGAGCTTGGTGAAATGCCCCAGGTGTGAACTGAAGTGGTCCCTGTATGTCCCCTCCTATCACTCCATCTGTTCAGACACTTCACCTGTCACTGCTGCACTGTTAACACGAGACTTATAACGGCCAGCTATTTTCAACCTACTTCCCCTTTGGAGCTACTTGAAATTTCCCATTAGGTTGTTCCTGTGATGAGGTGTTGGGTGACACAATCTTCACATTGAGTTAGCTGGTACAATAGCTTGTACCCATTTAGGCCAATGTCACATGGAAACGGTATTTGTTCTCAAACTCACAGTGTAATGGAAGCTGACAATGCTATTTACACAACAGCTAGCAATTAGCAGAATAAACCAGCCAACAATACACCACTTCCATCAAATCTGTTTTATGTCCAGGCTCGATTTGCGTAGATTACTTTGCCAACAACTTGTTCAACTGGAAAAAGAAGTTGTTGATTGTAAATTTGCAACATGTGCTTGTGTTGGCAGTTCTCAGCAAATATTACCGCATTTATGTCAGTATTTAATGCAGCCTTTTGGAGGTAGGTATATAATTCCATCGAAACACAAAGTTAAATACTTCTGGTCAATCTCCATCTAGATAGACCAGTTTTATGCAATACTATGGAATATTATAGCCAAAGGAACAGCATTTCCATGGAGAGCAGCAGGCCAAATAGTCAGTTTTGTGGAGATGGAAGCCAACTCACAGTAAGGACGCATGTTTTTCCTGTGTTTTACTTTGTAAAAAAAATTATCAGTCATTGGCCAAAAAGTTACACAGTGGAGCTTCAGTAATTTGATTGAAAGAGAATGTATAACAAAGTTTGCAATTGTAATAATCTCACCATTCCCATCTTAAAACAGTATTGATACTTTGCAATGACATCACTGGGTATATTCTACATGTATCTCTATTGGTGGAATATTTATCAGTTACCATAGTGACACAATCCAAACATTAACAAACACAGACTATAAAGTTTTTAAGATGACAGAAAAGGTAAAAGCGGCTAACTGAAAAACTGTTGGCAAACCTATATTGTTACTGTAATTGTATTTGAGATAGACTTGTTTAAGTGCACAAGTCAGCTCACCTGTCATAGATCTAAGTCAGTTCTTTCAGTTCAGTAAAGCCTTAGACAGACTAGAGCCTACAGTTAGCATCACATCCCCAGGGAATAGTGATGACATCAGTCAGTTATATCAACCATTTATAGAACAATCTGAACCATCAGCATAATCATAATATCATACTGTCTTGGTTTTCTCAATTTCTTTCCTTAGTCAACTATAACAAATCTAACACTAACAGCTTTCATTGTCATGTGGATTAACATCATGTAGTTGTTATAGGCAGGTGGCATTGAAATGTCTAGGTACCTTTGGAGCCAGGACGTAGAAGTATCCAGTCCCATTTGCGCGGCAGATGAGCTTACATTTGTCCTTGGGAGAGACGCCAGAGTATTTGGGAACCCACACCACCGCGGAGCCCAGTCTGTTAGTGTTCAGATTTAAGCCGTTGAACGCTTCACACTGCTCCTCGCGGAAACTCTTGCCTGCGAAGGAAAAATAGTCAGCAAGTTAACTCATTCTACTTTATGATATTATAAATAAACTTGAATGATAGTGGCTCCTAACCTGAGTCAGGACATGAGCGGAGGTTGCAGGAGCGATACTTGATCCGCAGACCATAGCAGTATTTTCCTCCGTTTTCAGGGACGGGGTTGTTGCATTCTCTTTTTGCCAGTTGCACACCTCCACCACAAGTTCGTGAGCAGTCTCCAAATGGACCCCATTTACCCCACTGTCCATCCACCTGCAACAAAATGTGTCAATAGTCCCATGTGCTGCTGTTTTAAAGGTCCTATTACACAAAGATGACTCTTGAGCTTTAAGTTGTATTATAATATTGTTACGTCATCAAAAAATACCTGCAGTGGTGTTTTGTTTCATTCACACATGTTTGAGTTACCCTTTACTAGTAGTCTGTCTACAACTCCTAAGCTCAAAATGCTCTGTTCTGTCTTGCGATGTCATGAAGCAGTAGTTTTCAAGGTTAACAGCTACCTTTTACCTTTAGTTCAGTAGAGATTGGCAATTGTAATGAAGTATGGAGTTTAAAAACACAGTGGAACGCTACCTGTATTATATGGCATCACAAGGTGGAGCAGAGTGTTTTCTGTTTGAGAGAAGAACTAAGAAGAAGCCCAAGAAGAAGCCTAAATTTGCAGGGTTTGTGTGTTACATGTGTGAAGGAAACAAAAGTCCCTGTATATTTTTGATGAGGAAACAACATAATAAGATAGATTAACAAATTGCCTAATATGGCCTCTTTAATGTCTCTATTTGATTGCTTTTTAAACCACTTATCATTTTAAGTTAAAACACTGCTAAATCAGGAATCAAGGTAACCCATAATATTATACAGACAGTAGAGTTGTATTGCACTGGTTTATACACATAATAACAAATTACTCATTCTGACAAGCAACGATAACTAGACAGCAGAGATGATGCAACCAAAGACTACCCTCAGCTTTCACATAACTGGTTTGGCAGTTTTCTTTATGTATATATTTGGCCTTTTGTTTTAATTCTTTTATACCTACATATTCATGTTTAGTACGTTGTAACATATTTTGACTTTTGGTACTTCCCACTCATCCTTGGCTGTAACAAATTGGGGGTTCATCTGGGACCTACACCTTGACTTTAACCTTGTACCATCATGGGGTAAATGAAGACATGTGTTTCCAGTTTCTCACCTTGATGTGCATAGTGTTGTTCTTTTCAGTGCAGGTTCCTCTGTAGCAGATCTTGCTGGTGCCACAGCTGGTGCCATCTGCCCAGGGGAAGTGTCTGGTTTGGCACACCAGTTGCCCGCGTGCCTTCCCTGTGCACCACAGTTTGGAGCAGGGGTGCATGTAGGGGCACGGCTTGGACCCAGGCCCAAACGCCAGCTCACACTGACGATGGAGGCTATAGGTCGCACCAGGGAGGTTATCGGGGAGAGAGAGCTGCCTCTGGGGCTGGTCCAGCAAACAGTCACCTACAAATACAGAACATTTGTTCATTTGTAACCATCTACTGTAGTATCACACAGTACATGAACGAAGTTAAATTTCCTACATTACTCTTGTGAGCTTTTAACCAATTTATAAAGGTGTTACCTCCTCAAAAGCATACATGAAGTTGTGTTTTGTTTCATTCACACACATTTGAGTAACCCTTTATTTCTAGTCTGTCTGCATCTCCAAAACTGAAAATGCTCTGTTGTACTTTGTGATGTTATGATGTGGTAGTTGTCAAGTTGCATTTAGGCCAGGAGAGATCAGCACTTCCAGGTATGAAATTATCCAAATTATTCTAGTGAAGGTGTATGGAGTTTCAAAACACAGTGGAGCACTTCCTGTATTACCACATGGCATTACAAGGTAGAACAGAGTGTTTTTCTGTTTGAGGGAAGAACTCAGCCTAAATATTCAGGATTTTGAGTAAAACATGTGAATGAAACCAAACTCAACTCCAGGTATATTTTTAATGAGGACACATTTTAACATCATTAAATAAATCATAAAATGACATGGTATAATATGGGCCTTTAGAGATGCACTTGTCATTGATTTTCTGAGAAGGTTCCGCCTCGCTTTTTTCATCTACAAGGTGTTTTATTGCTGAAGAAATGCCTTGAGAATCATGCAGATGGAACTTTTAACTTGGCCTGGCTGTTCCACTTGTCTTCATGCGGATAATATAGAAGGTTAATGCCGTACTTTGTAACATTCTAGGCAAAGCAGTAACATTTCCATAGAGAAAAGCATGTGGTGTGCACCTGCTAGTGTACACAGTGTACTTTTAATAAATGAATACAACAAAAACTATGCATGAGATTTAGAACATTTCCAAAACTTGTTCAGCATTAAGCCAGGAAACAAATATTGGATGTGGATAAGGAACATCATCTTCTGGATCCGGGAGGGATGTTCTATCACTGTGAGTGCCAATACTCTGATAACTCAAGGGAGCACAGACTCAGTTGTGTTATCCACCAACTAACCCAAAACTGTGTTCTTGTATAATCATGTATAGAAAGTACCGAAGAAATCAAAGCCCCTAACTACAACCACAAGAAAGATATACATTACAACTTAAAGTCAGCTGCTCAGATAACTGAACCTACAACCATCACCATTCTCCTAATTTTCAAATTTCTAGAAAATGTTAATAAAATATTATCCATATTATGGTATTTTCTGATCTACTGTAGGTTATAATGTTTCCTCATCACAGACGTACCTGGAGTTGTGTTTTGTTTCATTCACACAAACAATAACAATCAGACACACATCTTTGTATATTTAGGCTGGCCTATGGTAATACATGGAGAGTTCCACTGTGTTTTTAAACTCCATACACCTTCACTACAATCATTTGGATGATTTCAGACCTGGAATTGCCAGTCTCTACCGAATTAAGGTCAAAGGTAGCCAGTACTACAGCTTTATGACATCATGAGGTGGAACAGAGCACTTGAAGCTTCGAAGATATAGACATATATACAGAGATATATAACAATAAAGGATTACTCAAATATGTGTGACTGAAGCAAAACACAACTCTAGGCATGGTTTTGATGAGGTAACAGAAATATATCAAGGCCTAAAGCTCACAAGAGTCAATCGCTTAATATAGGCCCTTTAAGTGGACCTAAATTCTTATGTTCAAAAAATGCACCCAACTTTCTTCACGCTCTAAAACAAATCTTAAGTATCTAGTTTTACCATCTTCTTTATCGGCCTCCACCCTGATAATTACGCCCAGTCCCACTGCTCATTGCATCTCCCCTAAATCCTCTGTGGTCCTCTTTATTGTACATTCACATTCATAAGGTTTATATCACACTAACACACAAACTAGCTGTTGTGGTCTTGTAATTTAACTTTATGGGCACTTACTGTATGTGTCCTCATATCACCCTTAAATGTAAATGTAAGCTGACATCAGAAAAACTATCATACACAACCACATATTGTAAAAAGATGAATTTGTGAATATATTCTACCACGGCAGCCACCTGGTAATGTTTAGATAAAAAATGGTTGGTAAATTTAGCTATGAAAGTCTGCTGTATCTGGGTCGGTAATAAATTGTTGTGTTTTGGTTTTGGTCCACTTTAAGTTTAAACAGATACACATAGAAAAGGAAAGCCTGTGGACTTTAGTATGATATAATGGCACAGTTAGGGATGGTGCAGTGTAAGGCTGTAACGGACTAAAGAAATTCTTGTTCGACTAAACACATGTATTGTATGTGGTGTAAATATCTGTACTTTGTTTTGTCTTATACTCTGTGCTGTGTATATTTTGTCTCATGCTTGTAATGTATAGCCTGTTTTGTCCTGTGAATATTATTTTTCATATCTCCTATAACATCAGGGCCTGGGGACTACACATGAAAAATGTGTAGTTTCTTGGCTAATTCTGGCTATTTATGCATGTATATTCATGTGTTTTATGAACTTGCACTGTCCCATTTCAAATAAATATGCCGATGAATTAGTAATGAATAATTAATGAACTGAGTAAAAAGGGGGCGTGGCAAAAACTCTAAAATCTAAACATACTCTATGCATATTATACTATACTGCATACTATTTATTAAAAAGGTTTTGGAAAATAGAGTATTAAGAACTTATGAATCATTTATCAAGTTAAATTAATGTTTTTTTTACACACAAATCCCCCCTAAATACCAAGTCTTTAGCTAACTCACTCACTAACTTCTCTTTGTCCCATGAAAATCCTTTTAATCTAAATAAAATGTACAGTATAGTAGACTACTACAAATTTTGGTTGACTGAGACTGCACTGGCTGGAGTACAGTGCTATAGTACAGTAAGTGAAGGGATTTGAAGTGGTATTTTAAATGTCACGGCAAACAAAATTATGTCTAAAGATGAATAGATCCTCATGTGCACTTGTTCAGAGTCTTTGGTTCAAGAGCTTTTAACTGTCTGGCAGAAATACATACGTCTTTTTAATGAAGCCATAAAGAATGTATCAGCTGCTGTGTTTCCTATGGTATCTTTGAATGAACTTCATTCATCCTTCTTGTTGAGGTCATTTTTATCCAGTTAAAAGGTGCTTTGAAGTCAGCTTTTCCATTTCACTGTCATTTTGGGTGGGATTTGTGGCTATGGATATTTTCAGACTACACTTTTGTTTAAATTAAGAGAAAACAAGATCATAAAGACAAGACACACCCTGATGACTGAGTTGTCTGGGCTCCAGGAAAGCAAGAAACATGGCCAAAAAGAGGAGATGAGAGGGACAACACAATATTCCCACTAACCCAATTATTTACTTCCAAGAGGAGGAGTATGTGGCCTTATAAGGTGAAAGGGTTCATTTGATCTTCTTATTCTTGCTAAGAGGATGCATGGGTCTGTCTGATTGAAGGCTGGGAGCAATGCAGGGCAGGCAAGGATGAATACTTGGACATGGAGTTTAGGTTTTGATGGAATAAATATGTTAACCTAGAAGTTAATCTAGAAAAAGTTCCTGCTGTAAATGTACGTAAATGACTACCATGCAAGTCTGTTTTTTGTTTCTTGTGTGAAATGTTAATAGAATTGTTAGAAAGAGCAAAGTGAAATCAAAATATCAAAATATTATCTGTTTTTATCTTTACAATTTAGTACCATCCTCATGCCATCATTGTTTATACTCTGCCTAGGGCTGGGTGTCAGTACAATACTATTAAAGTGAATGTACTACTATTACCACAGGCAAAAGGGTACCACTTACCAGAACAAAAATATAACAAAATTCCTTTGTCTTTTGATAACAACCTCAATGTAATCTCATGTAATGATTAATAGATGTAAACATTGTTCATGTACTGATATCTACCCTGTAACTTCACCTCTGATAAACAAATGATGTCTGCAATAGTACAATAACAATACAGCAAGTGATTGTGAGTCTCTTTTTACCATAAATTTGGAGTATTTGCTATACCATCACAAAACAATTATTTAAGTCTACCATATTATTGGGTTAAATACACATAATAGAGTAGGCCCCTTAAAAGTGTGCCAAGGTGAAACATTTGTGAACGCTGTCTGTGGAGAGCATGAGGCCTGCAATGAATTAGGGGAAGAGCAGGAAGTGTTTACTGACCGTGACCTCTGTCCAGGAACTCGGTGATGATGGCGGCGCTGCAGACGGACCAGGGCCGGGTCCTGTCGATCTGAATCAGGGTGGGAGACATCATGTGGTTGTCCTTCAGTTTACCAAACACGTCCTCACACGCTTTCACATTGTCGTGAGGCATGTTAAACACGTGACCTACAGACAGAAAAGAGCGGATGAATGAATGAATATAAGAGACCATTTTTTTCTATTAAATGTACAACATTATGCAAAATTGACCTTTGTGAGCTCAGCCATGTTGCAATATTGTTACCTCATCAAAAACATACCTGGAGTAGAGTTTTGTTTCTTTCACACATGTTTGAGTTATCCTGCATTATTGGACAGTCCACATCTCCAAAGATCAAAATGCTCTGTTCCACCTTGTGATATCATGAACTGGTCGTTTTCAAGTTTAAAAAAAAAACTTTTACCTTTTGTTCAATATATATTGGCAATCCCTGGGCTGAAATGATCTAAATGATTCTAGTGAAGGTCTATGGAGTTTAAAAACACAGTAGAGTCTTGTATTACCACATGACATCACAAGGTGGACTGTTTCTATTTGAGAGAAGAACGTGGCCTAAATATGCAGGATTTGTGTGTGAAACACTGCTGAAACAAAACACCATATTAGAAGATTGTGGAATATGGGCCCTAACCCTAAAACCCTGCTTTAGTCTAATGTTTAATTATTGTTCCTAATAGTGGTTCTATTCACTTTCAGCTTCCTGCTATCTGTGATATTTTGGGGATCTATCACATTGAAAAGGTATAATGCTTCGTTTTAAATTGTTAATCGCTATGGTAACTGTCCTATTTTTTTCATCATTAAAAAAACCTTGGCTGTAGTGACAGGTTACAGCCACATGTACACACTTTGAGCACTTATACGTATTGGTGGGATTCAGATGACATCACAACATTGTATAGTCCAGTCATATTTGATACAGATGGAGGGCAGATAAAATTAATATTGTTCAAAGGCAGATTTCTGTTTTAATACAGTGAGTTCTTGGGTCTAATCACTTATTGAAATGATCAAGAGATTCAACATTTGTGAATTTTCCTTTTCCTAAAAAACACAAAATTACATTTTGTTTTGAAATGTTAGTTGCTAAGGTATCAGGCCTTTTCCCATCACTTGAACCCCTGGATGGTATGATATTTAAAAGCCACTGCTGTGTGATGATATGTTTGTCAAAATTAGGAATTTTGGCTCAGTTTCCTAAATAATGAGACTAGAAAGTTTTCCGGAAAGTCTTTACATTTTCAAATACTTAGTGCAAGAAAAGCAAACATATGCTGTGTTTTTTCAGTCTGGTCAATCATAAGACAGGATATTTTTAAAGAGGAAATTGTCTAATTAGTTAACATATATGAGTTTGAATGTAAAGCAATGCCTCTCAAGGGACTCCAAGAGTTACTAACAGATTGGATGTCAGATATGAGCCAGATTCTCCTTTCACAAATGCTCCAAGTTTAGGCATTGTTTTTGACTGCCAATCACTTAAATTGTAAAAATGTGGTCCTGTTAAACTGTAAGTTGGCTGCTTGTTTCTCCTGTCTTAATCAACACTAAACTCATGGGAAATGCTGAAATTGCAAGACTTATCCTGTTTCTCTGTTTACCTTGGCCTCCCCAGTCTCTAGCTGGAGTCATAGCCAGTGTTTTTAGATAAGAGTGCATATTTGTTATTTGAATTACATCATGAGAATAAGTTCCCTGTGCTTACATGTTTCAATATCTACACTGCACTTAGGTGAGACATTAAGCTTTCCAGATCAATGTAATCTTGCACCTCACTTCCTTAAAGCACAAGATTATGGTAACTGCCATCAAAAAGACTGAATCAATCTCTGCTTTTAAAATTACACAGGGCTCCATAGCTTAATGGTAGTTGGCTGTTCTGAGTACAATAGTGATATTAGGAAGTTGTTACTTATTACCACAGCACTTGTGTGTTCCAAATTATATTTTCTGATGGTTTAATTAAGCCAGACTTATTTATGACGTCTCCACTAACGTCACTGTGATCTGGGTCATGCTTGTTTGCTATCAGAGACATTAGCTTATTATAAGAAAGGAACTCAGCCTAAATATGCAGAATTTGTGTGTTAAACATGTGTAAATGTAAAAAAAAAACAACACAACTCCTGTTATGTTATGATGAAGATACAACATTATAACATAGATCTGAAAACAGCTTAATATGGGCCCTTTAACATGAATGGATTGTAGAGGCATGGCTAGATACTGAAACACTTCTTTTTCAAATCATACTTTCCCTGTGTTTTTACCCAGTTCATGTGCAGTGGTGAAGGCTGAGGGCAGGCCGTCGTCCTCTATGACGGAGCAGCTCCTCTTGGGGTCACACATGGTCCCAACATCAGCCATTCCCAAAGTGTCACAGGTAGTGGCTCCACACAAGTCCTGGAAAACATAAAAAATATAACACACGCTGTTATACGTTTATTTATAGTTATGTTGTCTTAATGTTTGACCTACACTTAAAGATTTACTATGTAACATTTTGCCTCTCTTGTCTCCATGAAGATGTTATTAGTTTGCCTTGAATGTTCCATAGTTCTCCATTAGTGTCAGACTACCTATCAGGAAAGTGACAGATATTTCAATTTGGAGATAGAGCACTATAAATGATCTCTGTTGTAGTGTGGCACAGATGAGGTTTATTTTGGGCAGAGTCCAGTTGACCTGCAGCCCAAGGAAGACCCAACATTTAGCAATGAACCCTGGATATGAAGCTTCAGAGAAGGCACTACAAAAGCCAGATAAAGCATAGGTAATTTCCACGTTTTGTTTCAAACACTGTATGTTTTGGCCTGTTCACAGGCCTGACTGCCTCCAGTATTTATCTTTATATGTCTCATTTTAGTTCAATACATAATAGACATAAAGAGGTTAATTCAGCCAACTTAAATACTGCCAATGTGAAAATGTCAGACTACCAGCCATACATTGCATTTGCTGTCTGGACTTTTCCAGTGCAGCTGTGTTCACTGTGCTGGAAAAGCCGGGCTGCCTGGAGTTTCCTATACGTGTAATGCCCTCAGTGTAAATAAATACGCCTCTTTCCAGGCGCTGGGGTCACTGTGCACTGGCTGTGCTCTGCAGCGGGAGAGATGAGGGACATCTGTGGTTGAGTCGCAGGTGATGGACCTCGGGGCACCGTGTAGCTCTAGGCCACAGGACTCCAGGGGTTAAATTACAGATATATTCCAGTCCCTCTGCTCTTTATGCCCTACCTGCTTGGTAAAGAGTATGGCTGTGTCCCAGTACTCCGGGTGCTTGTCGTTGTGCTTGTTGAGCTTCTTCTGCCAGGAGCAGAAGTTGCGCAGAGTGAGTGCCGCGTTGCTTGAGACCTTGGGCCCCTTGTCAGTGTCACCCAGAACAGTGAAACCCACCACCACCAGGTTAATAGAGTTTAGGATGCTGGGGTGCTTATACAAGCGGGCCGCCACAGACATCAGCGTGAGGACGTAATGCTTGAGGTCGTCCCCGTGGAATGCAACCATGGACTCGTCCGCCACGACCAGAACCTCCACGTACCGCGGGACTGAGGCGAACCGCTTATTCCGCCCTATCCTCAGCAGACGCTCACTGACCTCCTCCAAGTCACTCAGGTATCTATATTTGTCTAAGGACACGTTCAGGTGCGCGTGCGGCAGAACCCCACACCTGCTGAGGTTTTCCCCTGGGAATGTAGCGCGCGCACGGCGCTGGATGATGTGTGTCCCGAGTCCTGCCTCAGGTCCTGGAGCCGAGGATCGACTGATGAAATACTCCATACCGCCAGTAGAGAAGCTCCCCCGCAACCCCCCGCAGAGGCTCAGTGCCGCAAACGAATTTCCGTCCGTGTTTACGCGCCCGGAATAAAAGCAATGAGCAAAGTCTGCCCCACTCTTCGGTGTCATAAAACTGGAGTCCGGTTCAACATCCAGATAAAAGTCCTCATTAAAAGCATGCAGCTTCAAAAGCACCTGCTGGGCGTCCATGCGCCGCAGATGCGCAAACTCCAGAGGGTCCACGCGCACAGGTGTGCATATGTCCTGTTCCACGGGCTGCACCGCTCTACACCGCGTGTAGAGCAACAGCAAAGCGGCCAGCAAAAGAGCCATGTCCCTGCTTTCCGAGGGCCTTCACGCCGAGGGTCCCATCATGCTCCTGGTCCCGAGCTGGACTCAAAAGGGTCCGCACCTCTCTGGTCGCGTGCTGGTCTGTATTCAGACCACAACCACTTGCAGCTCCCCAAACATTATTGTAGCTCCAGAGTCTGTGACAGAGCATCTCTCCTCCCATTGCACGGCCCTCAACACGTTCAACCCACAGACCCGCACTTCACCCGCTGGACGCGCAGCACGTGACCTCAACACAGCGCTCTCGGGGAACTTCTCAGTTTACGCTTTGTTAGAGGACACGGAGCACTGTACGTGACGGGAATAAATGTATTTCACATCATGTCAAATTAGACCAATTTCATTCAAGCATTTTATCGAAACGGCTTTTGAGAGATTAACATAATTAATCTTATTCGATTGCTAATTACAATCAATTAGCCTATGTCACTTTTGTTACAGTTTTTGTGTTGTACATAAAATTGCATAGATGGCTATAAAAGACTCATACAATTTAACATTGCCCTGGGAGAAGCGTCCATTGTTTAATTCACCTGCTGCTGAGGCCTGGTGAATTGAGCGCTGACTGTGGTCTCCCCCTGCTGCTTGTCAAACGTGTTGCAAACTTTGTCTCTTCTTGTGAGTGCACGTTATAGCTTTTCTTTTGGCGAACTCTGGTGGCCACTGATGCAAAGAGGAGCCAACTATTCTTTTTTTTTTTTTTTTTTTTTTTTTTTTTTTAACAAATGGCACGCGATATTCATTAACGTGATTTACACGGGGCTTGGAAAACATTCAGTTTTATATTGTAAAATAAGTAATGGGGGAAAGAAAAGAAAATAACGTCACTGGAGCACATCACTAAGAGTAATGTAAAATGAAATGAGGAAATCCACTTCCCATATAACAGCATGACTAAAGTAATTCCAACAGCAGTTTAACTTTTTTAGTAAGTTCTACTTTTGTATGCAGTCTTCCTCGCATACGCTAGATTTCAGAGTGTGTGCCTTTCGGACTAATCGCCTGTGACGTTTGCTTTCACATCTTTGGGGTTATGTCGGCTATTCTTTGTATCTGCGTGTATAGGCAATTTTGTCTTGCGTAATGTGCGCAAACAGCTTTGTGCGCATAGACTTAGTGCGTTTTCTGCCGCCAATTAAAATCCAACTAGGCATCTTGACCCTGCATCCCTTACTTTCTTTTCAAACAGACGTGATGGGGCTTGGCTTACGTAAGTATACATCAACCTCCGTCAAACGGTGCTCTTTTGTCCCTGACTCTGGCAATTCTCCTGCAGGGGTTCTTACAGACTTGGCGGGGGTGCTGTCACTCTCTCAGACCTTTCTTCGGGTCAGAAATAACTGGGCTTGTGGACTTCCAGCTATGCATATAGTAATGGGCTGCGCGTCCTGGCGCTGAGTTAAGAATAGGAGCGCAGTAGTCAAGGGGGGAGTGGCGGCTGGTTCTCATGAAGCACGAGTGGGAGGAGAATTTCCAGCAACGGAGGATATCAAAAATAAACCCCCTCGTGTCCAGGGAAGAGCAGAAAGTATAAATAGGCCTGATGCGTCCAGACTGCAGCTGTGTGAGGTGCAACAGGACGCAGCCTGGGAGGACTAGACACACACTGACCAAGACTGGACACTGCCTGCTAAGAATAGGGCACTTGAATTTATTTTTACAACACTGATTGCAATTCAGAGACAATTTTTTTTTCTACAAAAAGTATTGTTTCTATAACAAAATATGTATTCCCCCGTGCGTTTGCTCTTTTTATGCCTTTGTGTGACCAGTGCGGTCCAGTTTGAGTCTGAGGATGTGGTCCCTCATCGGATCAACTCCAGAGTCAGCAGTCGCTTCTGGAAACGCAGTGAGGAGCAGCCCAGGTTCGTGCTCAGTGCGTTTGGAGACGACCTCACGCTCAACCTCATCCCAGACACAAGTTTCCTCTCGCCTTACTTCAGCATTCAGAGGATCAGATCTGGCCAGCACCACACACCAGCTCTGGACAGCACCATAAACCGGACAGAGGAGAGCGAGGGCCACCTGAGGAGCTGCTTCTACTCCGGAAACGTAGACGGGGATCAGAGCTCTGTGGTGGCTGTCAGTTTATGCTCGGGCATCTATGGCTCCTTCATTACGCGCGGGAAGGAGTATTTTATTGAGCCCAAACAGCGTAACGGCGTCCACTCCATGGAGCAGACTCATGTGATTAAGAGGAGAGCGGTTGGCACAAGTCCTGGCGTGGTGGCGGTGCGCTTTGACCGCTCCGCACCGGTAGTGGAGAAGACAGAGGTGGAGAAGGAGGAGAGTAGGCGAAGTGGGGAAACTTTGACGCACGGCAGCAGTGACGCACGCAGCCAGATGCGCAGGAGACGCTTTGTTTCCGCGCCGCGCTTCATTGAGACGCTGGTCGTGGCAGACGCGAGCATGACCCACTTCTATGGAGATGAAATAAAGGTCAGGCAATTCATTGCTTCCCACACATTGACCTAAAGAATGCCAAATAACAATAAAAGGCACATAACAAAAGACACACACGATATGGCACAATATATATGTCAGTTCCAAATATCTATAATTTCTCAGTTGTGCAGGTAGTTTCCATAGTAAAAGAAAATTCAGTTCTGTCAACTGGGTAATAGTTTCAGAGTGAAGGCGTTTTTTTCAGGTTTATATTTGTTGTATTGTGCAATAGTTCCAGTAATATACTGACACTTTACCAAAATCACAAACTATCCAATATCTAAAATATTTTACAAATCTGCATTTACAGATCAAATACTTTCAATATTTTCTTCATCATTATTTTATTGCTCAACACACTTGTACAGTCAGGAGGAAAATTGTTCAGTCTCTCTTGGTTCATAAAGCATGTTTTGGCAATAAAAGTGAATCAGAGGGCTCCATGTTTTCCACAGGCCCAGAGAACGAGGTCAGGCTACAGAAATGTAAGCAATGCTCCAGCGCATTCCTCTGGAGTTGGTCACAGTTTGGCAACCACTGCTCTGCATCATCTTCTCAGGCCTGATACACACTGGGATCAATAGGATTAAACCATGCTGCATAATAAAGCCATAAGCAAATTAAAGTCACACAAATAAATTGTTTCAGGGAGTCAACTATGATAATGTCTGCTGAAACTGTATGTGTAGATGAAACCACTGTATTTAATATTTACAAATCCCAAATGGTGTGCATTGCAATTTCTAAACCCCTTCATCGGAAAGTCAACAGATCTCTTATTTGCAGAGCACTTTGTCCAATATTTCAGACGAACCTCAAAGTGGAATCCAAAAGTAAATCAAAATATTAAAACTATAGGTTTTGGTTTGGTTCTCCTCCAAGGACATATAATAGTTTGTCTTTGACTGAATTATTACACCTTACGTGGTGTCTGAATGTTTTTATGGTTTTAGTGATTTGAAGGCTGCTGTCTGTAGCCAACACGTGGTTCTGTGGGTGAAAGCAGCACATGTGGAAAAAATATTTATACAGCAATACCAACCATCAACCCAACTGAAAAAAGTTATTTCAAGTGTCATCGGAGTGACAAGTGTACTGTACTCATCTGCCAAAGGAAACAATCGGCCAAACGCCATAAAAACCAGCTACTAAGCATTGAAAAATACATCTTATAGCAACTGTGAGTTTTATGGATATTAGTTTTGTTATACCTGGACTCAACGGTTTCATAAAGTAATACACTACATGCCATAGCAGTCTTCAAACTCAGATAATTTGTGGTTAGGGAAGATTGTGGTAGGACATCTGGCATTAAAAACAAACATCATTCAAACTATTGCATTGTTTATTTCTGTTGTTATTCCAAATAGAAAAGGAGAAGAGGTTGTCATGGGAAGAGCATTCTCATTTCTTGATAATCTGTTCCAGGTAGATGGCTGCTTAAGATGCAATAAAACATAAAAAAAAACACTCACCATGATTCTTTTGACTTTCTGTGTAATAAAACCTATGTCTAATTTGTCTACAGCACTACATACTGACCCTGATGTCTATGGCAGCTCATCTGTACAAACATCCCAGCATAAAGAACCAGGTGAACTTGGTGGTGGTGAAGATGCTGGTGGTTGAGGATGAGGAGGTGGGGCCAGCCGTGTCCAGTAACGGAGGAATGACACTGCGAAACTTCTGCTCCTGGCAACAGCTCTTCAACCCTCCAAGCCAGAGACACGCCGAGCACTATGACACAGCCATGCTATTCACCAGAGAGGTATGGGATGCAGCTTTAAGGTGCACTGGGTAACTTTTCTGCTGGAGGGTCCATCATCAGCTTTTCTCCATGTTGCCAGATGTTGCCTGGAATGTTCCACAGTATGGCAGTGCACTTATTTATCTCTACAGAGACAACAGGTGACATCATAGGGCCAAGTAACATGTAAGATCTGTGGAAAGGCAAGCCCACTCACAGTAAGAATGAAAGTCTTTAGGTCAATATAAAACATGTTATTGAATTAATGCCATATCTGGACATTCCAGACAAAGCAACATCTCTATGAAGACAAGCAGAGAGCAGACCCTCCACCAGTAAAGTCACATAGTACACTTTTAACATATAAGCAAATGTGAGAGCAATGTTTATCAGTCATTTTTAAATCAAGTCATTCTTTAAGGTGCCAACTCAAAGCATATGGAACATACTGTTAACCTGGCCAGCTAAGACTATCTATGGGTTTCAGATTTATGAAAAAGTGAGAGAGTGTTGTCATAGAGATTAACAATTATATCTTTTAAATGGGAAAGTGGCAAAATGGATAAAGGTGATCAATTCTTTTCTGCCCTTATTGCATTTTTTATTCAGGGCAATCTTACAGACATCAGTTGCAAAAAGTTTCATAGGAAAAAAAAATAGTAAAATCTAAAAATCTAAGGCAGGAGTGGTACTTGGATTTGTAGTGGTTGTACAAAATTGTTTAGTAAAACTTTGTATTTAAAAAAAAGTATTTTTTTTTTTAATTATTATTTGTAAATATAATTCCATTCACATGAATTTCTGTATTTTATTCTGTATTTAACCTTCTAATGTTTTGACACATGAGCACTGACACTCCTATTAAAAGCTCTGCCCTTTTAAACCATAGTCATGTAAATGGTTTTGGCAGTGTGTTTTTAGACTGGCCTGCGCTGGCTGCCAGAGTGTGCTGGTGGATCATGTTGTCCATTCACAGCCAGCCTGACTCATGAGGCCTCTGCGCTCAGCTGCAGCTCCACCACAAAACCATTACATCAAACCCAGTGGTCAGATGTTAGCGCAGGTGCATAAGACTCATATGGGAAAACCTCAAGCTATTTTATTTAAATAGATCTTTTTTCTCTCTCTCTCAAATCTGTCAAACAGGAACAACATGTCTAAGCAGAGACTGAAGAAGATAGTTGATGACATAGCTTTGGCAGTTGGTACTGACAGTCTCTTCTTTAGGGCATTTTTGAGTGAGTCATGTGCTTCATTGGGTTGCATTTTGTTTTGGTTAGTTTTTCTGCCACATGCCCTTTGAGATAATTTGAAGTTGGGTTTAATAGTTCAGAACTTTCACAGAGGTATCCTGACTTTTTTATATAGCTCAATGTGGCCAAGTCACAGGCGAAACAGTGGCGAGATGACACTATGTTAAGTGTTAGTTACTTTATTTAGAAAATTTATTTTAAAAACATATTGTCTCCATACTTGGAAAGACATTCAAAACATGTAAACTGAATAAAAAGTAAGTAAAAAATAGTTAAAACCAGCATACAATCAGCTTATTACCCCTGATTTACAATATTTCAACTATATGATATTCTTTTGTCATCACTTGCTATGCCTTCACCATATAGTTAAACCTAAACCATACACTCAAGTACATAATAATGTCTCTTTGCAAACATTAGAAAAATTAGATGAAAAAAAAAAAAGAAGAAATATTATCAGAAATTATAGTGCACCTTTGAGTTTCTCAGCGTCTCAGAGTAATTTCTTAATTCCAGCAGTCTTTTCCGACTGGTCCCTACTTGTTGACAAGGTGTTAGCACACAATAAATTAGCACTTCGTATTATTAAGTTTTATTGCAGAGTGCCATAGTCACAGCTTGAGTGACGATAGGTTTAGCCCTTTACTGGATGACGTTACACAGGGAGGTGCATTCATCCAAGAAGGGAAGTGATGAATTGAACATATGAGTGTCCTTTTTAGTTTGTTGTGGCTGCTTTCGATTTGGGAAGCCATTATTCACCAAAAGTCCTTTTAAGAGTTTGTTTTTCCATTTCCGCAGAGATATGCTTTGAAAATATAGAGACCAGACGACTCCTGGAGGATGAGCTAACTTTAGGAGCTCCACAAATCAGGCCTGACACAAGAAAGCCTCTTAAAAGGGTCAAGGCTGCTACTGGATGTTGTGAAATCGAAGGTAGCTTACAGTAACATGAAGTAAAGGAATAGAGAGCATATTTTGTAGTCACATTGGAATGCTATTGTGTAGTCACATTGGAATGCTATCCTCTGTCTGATGAGGTAAACCTATGCGTTAATTTAATCCAAAGCAAATATAAACGATCTTATCTACATTTATTCCACAAACAAGGCAGTTGCTGAGTACCAATATCAGATAACTGGACAATCTGGAGTTTTGTTTTGTTTCATTCAAACATGGTTAACAGACAAACCGTACATATTAAGGCTGAGTTTTTATCTCAAATAGAAAATAGACTGTTCCACCTTGTAATGTCATGTGGTAATACTGGAAGTGCTGCACTGTGTTTTTAAACTCCATACACCTTCACTAGAATCATTTAGATAATTTCAGCCAATCTCTACTGATTGCTCAAACATGTGTTAATGAAACACAACACAGCTCCAGGAATATTTTGAGGTGTTAACAACATTATATGACTTAAAGCTTACAAGAGTCAATTTTGTGTAATATAGGGCCTTTAAAGCCAAACACAAGTATTACAAAACTTTAGTAACTCCACCTCTGTCTCATGTCAAACAGCAGCTCCTCAGCAGACATGGTTTTAGATAAGACTTTGCTGGATCCTCAGGCCTGTGGAGGATGCTCTTTGGAACAAGGTGTACAGAGCCACGCTGGGCTGGGCCACAGCTGCAGCTCCAGATGGGATTCACATCATTGTGGTTTTCTGGACATATTCACTCCAGTCTGCTCTGCCAGGCATCTCCTCTCAAAATGCGGAAACATTTTAAATACACCACAATGTTCACTTCACCACAACACAACCCTCTGGAAAACTCCCTGGGATATTTATTTGTTTTGAATGGAAACAAGTAGAGTCTGGTCTGTGAGCTATATGACAAAACAAACTGAAGAGGCTTGATTCATGTAACAGCTGATCGGAGGAGACCCTAAAACAGCATTATTTATTGTATCATGGAAGAATGATCTTTTGTTTGATTGTATAGCAGAAGCAGACATAAAATGATTCATAAAATATTTAAAGATCCTATATTTCACAAAATTGACTCCAAGTAACCCTTTATTATTTATCTGTCTGCATCTCCAAAACTCAAAATGCTCTTTTCCAAGAAGAGATTGGTAATTCCAGGTCTGAAATTATCCAAACTATTCTAGTGAAGGTGTATGGAGTTTACAAACACAGTGAAACAAGTTCTGTATTGCCATATGACATCACAAGGTGGAAGTCTTTTCAGTCTGAGAGAGGAACTTAGCCTAAATATGCAAGGATTCTGTGTTAAACATGTGTGAATGAAACAAAACACAACTCCAGGTATGTCTTTGGTAAGGAAACATTATAACAGAGATCAGAAAATAGTGTAATATGGGCCTTTTAAAGCAAAACTGTGTAACTTTCTGGAGGTGGCACCTCCCACCTGCTTGATTCTATGGAAATAGAAAGTTAGAGCCATACTTAGGAACAGCCTCCATGGAGATAAATATGTTACGTGTGCCATACTGTGGAATATTATAGCCAAAGGAACATTTCCATGGAGACAAGCAGGAGTTTTTTAGGTCCAATAAAAAACATCTAAAATAAAAAATTACATAGTTCTATCCTATTTTTAGTCCATTTTTATTTTTATTTTTATTTTTATTAACTACATATTACGAAGCTGCCTTTGAAACTAATTAAAAACATCCATCTATTAATCATCTTTCCTGTTTGGGGAAGCGCCATGGAAACAGCAGTCTAAGCAGGGAGCTCCAGGGAATCCCAAAGTGGTTCCTGTGCCAATAGAAAAAAGGCTTTCCTCTTGGACATTTTTGGAGTTGTGGCGTTCAATGGAAAGGAAAAAATGTGAAATTTACTAAATAAATGTGTGTTTTATAGGACATCTGTGGCCACAACAGCTGTGACACTCTGGGGGTAGCTGATGTAGGAACTATGTGCGACCCAAAGAGGAGCTGCTCTGTTATTGAAGACAGTGGACTCCAGGCTGCTTTCACTGCCGCACATGAACTTGGTGAATTACAATTTTCTGCTGATATTATTAGATATGTCTAGATTTATGTAGTCTAATTTTGTTGTATGCACAGGTCATGTGTTGAGCATGCCCCATGATGATTCTAAAACATGTGAGAGGCTGTTTGGAGAGCTGGGAGGACATTATCTGATGGCTCCACTGTTTGTGAATCTGAACAAGAGCTCCCCGTGGTCTCCCTGCAGCGCCCTGTATATCACTGAGTTCTTTGATGGTGGACATGGTAAGAGACTGCACAAATGCATCAAAATCCTATCACATTTGATTCAAATGGGCAGTTATACTTGATTATAAAGCTTATATTATTCAGTATTTGGCTGTTTATCAGGGGCGGACTGGCAATCTGTACATTCTGGCAAAGTCCAGAACGGCCTTCCGACCATGGGGCTGAATGGGGCTGAATGGGGCTGAATGGGGCTGAATGGGGCTGAATGGGGCTGAATGGGGCCGCCGCATCCCCTGGTCCTCAGTTTTATATATATAGGTATTTTCACAAAAACAATTCCCAAAAGCCAACTTTTCTAGTTGAGTGGGCTAAGGGCTGACATCACCTATAGAGTTTGGCTAAAGTCAAATGAAGCTCACTGAGGTTGGCAGATATAGGGGCAAATTTGGAGCCGAGTTCCATATTAGCAATAGGAATTGATTTGTGGACCAAACAGCAAAATAAAAAGACCAGGATCATGTAGAGCAGGTTAATATGAACAAATGAAGATCATGGAGCCATAATCGCCTCCATGCTCACTTTCTATCTGGAATGCAGCGGCTAGTGGGGTGGGCAGGGTCTGTCACTTGCTTGTCACCATCGAGTCTAAGTTGCTTTGCTTGGAGTGTCTCACACTAGGGCATTAACATACCTATCTCAAGGTCATTTTGATTAATAAAAATAAGTGCAATTGCATGAAAAATAGACATGTTTAATGCCATACTCTAGACAAAGCAATAACATCTCCATGGAGACAATCTGGGAACAGACTCAGTGCAGCAAAGTTCATCGGGCACCTTTAATGTGACTTATTATAAACTACATCTGGATATCACATTCTGACGATGCTCACTTACTTAGTATCCTGTTCTGTTGACTCAGCATAGTTTTACTGTCCAACTCTTCCTCCCCCTTCACTACTTGCTATAGATATAATATTCATAGTGTTTTATTTCTATCTGTGTGTATCTCCCAGTGACTTCTTTTCCACTGAGTCATACTGTCGACCTTCTTCTTCCTGTAATTCCCTGTCATAGCCAAAAGCAACAGCTGGTGTCAGCTAAATATGTTCTTTATCAGTTGGAAAAAGTCTCTAAAGAAAACCCATACAGCTGAGATGGTTCATTGTGATCTGCTCACATCACTTCAGCTCCAGATATAGACTTCACTACTGAATGTAACAGAGCAGCCAGGAGATTTAGAGTAGCTGTCTATAGACTAGAGTTTTGTCTTTTAAAATCATGTGTTTCAAAGAATGATTTCTCTTTCTATTGGGAATCCTGAATAAGAGACTGGTATGTTTAGAATCGCCATAAAATCACACTGTGGGGCAATTACACATGCTGAGTTGGACAGTAGTGGTAGTAGTAGTAGTAGTAGTAGTAGTAGTAGTAGTAGTAGTAAAGCAGCAGCAGCAGCAGTAGTAGTAGCAGCAGCAATAGTGCAGTAGCAGTAGTAGCAGCATAGGGTAGCGCTTTCAGCTGATTAAAAAACCCATCTACAGCTATAGTTATTTTAACATATCTATCATATCTTGATATTTGTGTATTGTCTGCAGGGGACTGTTTGCTGGACCTCCCTGAGAACACAATCCCTTTACCGCAGGAGCTGCCAGGCCTCAAGTACAGTCTGGATCAACAGTGCCAGCAGATCTTTGGAGAGGAGTTTTCTCTCTGTCCAAACATGTCTGACAGCGACCTCTGCTCTCAGCTCTGGTGTCAGGAGGATGGGACCACACAGTGCACCACTAGGAACGGCAGCCTGCCCTGGGCCGATGGGACCAGGTGCAGCGACAATGGGGCCTGTCTGAATGGAGAGTGTATGACAGATGAAGAGGTGATGCAACCGCTGGTAAGACTGCCCTCCCTCACTTATTCTTAACTCTAGCAGTACTTTTATAGACATAATATTTACTGAAGTAGATGAGTAATTTTTGGAGCTGGAGTAGGTCATTCACTAAATTAAACTAGATCATTTAAATAAAGTGATTTATAGAGTGCAGTATTTTGAGAATATATGCATAACTGACACTTTAATTTTGGAGGTAGAACAAGTTATTCACAAACCAAAATGTCTGAGTGAAGGAGTATATAAAACTTTTAAATAAAGTGTAGTATTATATAGCAAAAACTGTCAAAATATAACAATTTTTAATATGCAGAAGTGTAGATTGGTGATGGGTGAGGCTCAGGGTTCCTTCTATTCTCCCTGATGTCTTCTCCTTGTGTTATGATCACACATGTTTATAAATCCAGACTCTCTGGCAGTTGAGTTTCTATGTGCTCCAAACTCATAAACCCTTTGGAAAGGACACCACAGCAGCTCACAAACGCCTCCGTTTAGTGTGAGAAAGCCCCATCACGGCCGCCTCCACTCTGGGTGACTGACACATGTGGCAGGAATGTGGGCAGAGGCAGACAGCAGGCGCGTGCCGAACTTCAGCATGCATTTAGCCTGTAGTAGCACACGCCAGCACACTGTAGCCATAATCCACACTGAGGTTTAGAGTGCACTCTGAGACGCCCTTGGCTCTGTGCCCTAACTCCCGCTCTGACTGGGCCTGTCTGGACTCCTCTCCTCTTCTCTTCTGCTTAGGTTCAAGTGGACGGTGGCTGGAGCGAGTGGGGGCCCTGGCAGATGTGCTCCAGGACCTGTGGAGGGGGGGTGGAGTTCTCCTACAGGGAATGCACAAGTCCTGTACCACAAAATGGAGGCAAATACTGCGAAGGCCAGAGGGTTCGGTACCAGTCCTGCAATATAGAAACCTGTGATAACAGTGGAGGTGAGCTCTGACCTTTGACTGAAATTAAGGAGCTTTGGAGAAGTGTTTTTTGTCTATCTATGTGTTGTTGTTTTTCTTGTTCTCAGCAGGAAAAAGTTTCAGAGAAGAACAGTGTGAAAAATACAACAGTCCTAACTATCTGGACTTCAATGGTAATGTCAAACAGTGGATTCCCAAATATGCCGGAGTTTCTCCTCGAGACAGGTGTAAGCTGTTCTGCCGGGCCAAGGGCAGCAATGAGTTTAAGGTGTTTGAATCAAAGGTATGACAGGTTTAATAAAACATAAAGATGATGTATTTATAATACAATGATTAGCATGCTGATGTTAAATGTGGTGTGTGCAGGTAGTGGATGGGACAACGTGTGGTCCCGACACCACCTCTGTGTGTGTTCAGGGCCAGTGTGTTAAGGCTGGCTGTGACCAGGTCATCGGCTCTAATAAAAGAGTGGACAAGTGTGGCATCTGTGGGGGAGATGGGCTCTCGTGCAGGAAAATCACAGGGTCATACAACAAAGCAATGTAAGTGGTACCATTTTATATCACACTCACAATATTTTATGGATTTACAGATTTTCAGTTTACATTATGTGTATTCTATTCTATCATTAATCTGCCACGCTTTATCTTCCAGTTTTGGCTACAATGACATAGTCACTATTCCTGTGGGAGCCACTAATATAGACATCAAACAGCGCAGCCACAGAGGCCTGAAACATGATGGGAACTACCTGGCAGTGAAGAGGGAGAGTGGAAGCTACATCTTGAATGGAAACTTCTCTGTGTCCACAGTGGAGCAGGACATCCCGGTGCAGGGTGCGGTGCTGAAGTACAGTGGCTCCTCCACCACTCTGGAGAGGCTCCAAAGCTTCAGGCAGCTCAAGGAGACCCTCACAGTACAGCTGCTGGCCACTGGGGGAGATGACAACCCTCCCAAGGTCAAATATTCCTTTTACATCCCGAGAGACACAACACTGAACAAATCTAAGGAGAAGAAAGGCCTGTCTGTGCACATGATCCACCCTTTTGGCCTCCCTGAGTGGGTGCTGGGTGAGTGGTCAGAGTGTTCCAAGAGCTGTGGTTCTGGTTGGTCCAGGAGGACAGTGGAGTGTAGGGACAGTGCCGGTTTCCTCTCTAGTCCCTTGTGAAGAGCCGAAGCCTGCCGACATAAAGGCCTGTGGGGACCTGCCCTGCCCCATGTGGCAGATGGGACCCTGGTCCTCGTGTTCTCGGACTTGTGGTCAGGGCGAGCGGCGCCGTACTGTGGTCTGCATAGACTACACAGGGAAGACTGTAGAGCTAAACAAGTGTGACGCAAACAAGATCCCAGAGCCAGTGTCGGGAGACTGCTTCAACCCTCAGTGCTTATGAACACAGCATGCCCTTTTTGCCCAAACTGCACTTACCAGCTGGTAGTATTAGGCTACTGGGCAAAATATTATGTTTTTGTTGACATTTGACAACCACTATAAGTAAAATCTACCTCAGGATGTACATTTGATTCTATGTACCACAATGAAGGTGCTGTGTGTTTTTTCAGTCTCGTTTTGTATAAACTTGTTTCAATGGGACAGGATGCTGTCAAACACCAGCACAGTGTAAATATACCTCCCAGCCTCCTCCACAGAACTCTTGCCTATAAAGCTTTATGGAGCCTTCACATAACTTATTATAAATGTCTCTGGGAATAAGCTCTTGTAGTTCTGTCCATTCATACCTACTCTAACAATGTGATGTTTCTAGAGATGTAATACGCTAATTATATGCTAAATTGGTAGGTCTATTACTCATAACAGAGAGCTTAAATGTCCTAGAGGTGTGCTATTTAGACTCGAGTGTGTTTACACAGTGTGTAAAATCTTGGTCTAGAGAGGAGTCTTTCTTGACCATAAGAGCAAACTGAGCACAATAGAGCTGTTTCATCTGCCCTTACGTTTTTCTAATTATGGTGCATTAAGACAAAATCTAATCACTTGTTATTCACTAAAAAGTCATGTTAATGTATTGAGCAATAAGAATACTATGGTGTGTGTAAATAATATCACTCATGTTTTTACAAATGTTGTATTTGTAAACCAATCAGCAAATGCTCACAGTTGTGTGTATATTTGATTGTTCATTGTCAAGTTGCTTTATGTTAAAAATGGAGTGAGTACGAGCATTGGGCCTATATCCCTTCAGTGAAGGACTCAGCTATTATATTGTTACAGCTTCCTCTTTGAGCTATTTATTTTTGTAAGTTTATACATTTGAGATGTAATTAAACTGGCACATGCTGCTGTCTTTGATTTTTTGTAAATGAAATGGTCAAATAAACACATGTATATTTCAATATGTGGCATCTTGGTCAGTTATTTTAGTCTTGTTGCTTGACCACCAATGTGAGAGGATGCATAATTTGCCCTACTTCGACTTTAGTGGTAGAATTACTGTGGGCCAATGAAAAAAAAAAAAAAAAAAAAAGGACATTCCTTTGAGACAGTAACTGTTAAAACATGAGAGAAGCAGACTTCATCTCCTGTTTAACAGATTTGAGCCTTTTAAGAAGTCAAGCCCAGTCCTCCCACTGTCAAATTACTTTCTACATCATAAATAACAACAACATGTCATGAGGGAGAGCCTCTTTCAAACTAATTCATCCTAATACCATTCATTTTTAACTGATGCACCTTGCTTATTATCAGTGTATTTATTGGTTATCATTCCTTAAAAATATTAACAAAAAATATGATAACACTGAGAAAAAGTATCTTCCTAAAACAGCCAATTAACAATGGCAACAAACAGTAATATAATAGTCCTTTATTCATTTATAAGCAACTATAATCCCAGGGATCAAACAGACCTACTCTCCTTTCTCTATAACTGAAAACATAAGGGCACAATATCACAAATAATAAATAATTATTAATAATTTGTAATTATTAATAAGTATTTGAATCTTATTGAGGAGTATAATATAGTACCAAACTACACGTGTTTATCAATACATAAATATTGCATTTGTCTCTGCCGAGTAAACTTGAGTGAACTTCATCATTTACACTGACAAAAGGATATTATGTTTTTGAACTTCCTGTTACAGTAAAGTACAGTTGGAGATGCGCGTTGCATTGTGGGGATATACGGCGCAGAGACAACGGGAGCACAAAGGGATGGAGACAGCATATTTACACCGCTTAATGCCCGCGTAATGTGAACTGAATTCATGCGAGTGTTGGTTCGGTGGTGGCGTGTGACGGCTGGAAGGCTGACAAGTGGCCAAAACGCACAGGACGGCGGCACGGCGCGGAGCTGTCTCCGACTACCGCTGCTTTGTGTCGGCTCAGCATCCCCAGGCCCCTCCGTCTGTACGGGCCGGACCGCGGAAGGTACACGTCTATGTTTAAGCTATTAACACCCGTCTGTATACTTTGAACAGGTTTTGTTATTGTCACGAGACTGACGACGGAAAATGGCCATTAAAGAGTAGTGCAGTGTAAGTTGAGGCCACAGGCTGCTGGCTAACGGTATTAGCTATGTGCGTCATTTGGTGCGTCAAGGTTGCCAAAGTTATACGGAAATGTAAGTTCAAAATAAAAGACAGCCATAACCACACATTTCTTTTTCACACACATGTAAAAACACCATCAGTCACAATGTTATATATCGTTTGACAAAATCCTGTTTTTTCTAAGTAGAACAATAGTAGATATGGATGAGGAGAGGGGTTTGATCTTACATTGTAACCTGTGTGTAGTTTCAAGAGTACACTTGAATAAATAGAATCTTGTAACACTCCCCAAAGGTTATAGTAATAGTAATAATTTGATAGGTTCATGCTATAATCATGGGAATCAAGGATGTGTAGAAAATATGGACCTGTATTTGGAATACATGAACATCAAACTAAAAGACCATATAGGCCCTTTTTGTGATTGTTATTTGGGGAAATAATCTACAAAATAATGATTGACTTAATGTAGGTGCTAGAATGTAGAATAGATTAATATCCCAAAGTAGCCGTCAGTACATATGACATGATATATGAAAGGCTGTCTCTGACATGAGAGATGTTGCTTTAAAAGACTCTTCTCATTAGCCCTAATAGTGTTGCAGTCTTCCACAGCTCAGGCTTATAACGCAGCATGGACACTGCCTGGAGTGTTTTCCTTTGCTCTATGTGCAGCTCTCCCCGCGCGAGCCCCTTCACTTCAGCCTTTGTTTGATGGAAAATCTCATGCCTCAGAGAATCCACATGTCTCACAGACAGCTGCTGAGCATCCTGTAGTGCACTGGCCTCTCCTCAGATCTGGACTCTATCTCTGTACATCTGCTTTGATTGGCCTTACATAACTTGGCATTTTGTCCTTGGTTCACTCCATCCAACTGCACGTCTTCACCTGCACCAGTCTGTCTACAACATGAAACACAAGAATATAACTATTTAATTGAGAACTCTCAGTATTATTAAAATATTTTACACATAATAATATAGAAATAATATTTTCATGACAGATTGATTTAATAAGGAATAAAAAATACTAACAGACATGTTTTCAATTATGCATAATTCTGTTGTTGATATTCGAGATGTTTTGTTTACTGGAACAAAATAAAGCTGCACTTAGTATTACTGAATCTAATAAAACCAAGGTTACATTTTTATAGGTACTATTTAACTGTAGCATTATGTTCTATTCCAATATGACTCACATGTTTATATGAATGTCACCCTTTAGAATAATGAAAATAATATCTGCTGTTGAAAATAACTGCAACAATATGTTAAGCAGATTACAAAACTCATCCGGCATCATTCTGTAGCTGTTTTATTTCTTAAAAGCTTTTTGTTGTCTTATTTATTTGATTTCTTTGTCTTCACAGCTCTCTTTTTCCCTGTTCTATCCTGACTGCAGCATGGGGGCCAAGACCTTCACCCACACCTCGGCCTCGCACAGTCAGGAGATGCTGGATAAACTCAATGCTCTGCGCAGCGAGGGGCACTTATGTGACGTCACCATCCGGGTTCAGGACAAGCTCTTCCTCGCTCACAAGGTGGTCCTGGCCTGCTGCAGTGACTTCTTCCGCTCCAAACTGGTGGGGCGCTCGGAGGAGGAGGACAAGTTTGTATTAGATCTTCATCACGTCACAGTCAGTGGCTTTGCTCCGCTCCTGGAGTATGCCTATACCTCCACTCTCTCCATCAGCACAGAGAACATTATTGACGTGCTAGCTGCTGCGAGCTACATGCAGATGTTCGCCGTGGCGAGTACATGCTCAGAGTTCATGAAGTCCAGTATTCTGTGGGGCCCGAGCAGCAACAACAGCCTTGGTACAGATAAGCAGCACGAATCCATCCCAGAGAGCGCCTCCTCTCACTGCACGCTCACTCCACTAGATGGCAGTGTGTCACCTGTATCTTCAGACTGCAGCGTAATGGAGAGGAATGTACCGGTGTGTCGAGAATCACGGCGAAAACGCAAGACCTTTGTGACCATGGCATCACCTGAAAGCCCACTTAAATGCACTACACAAATGGTGGCCACATCTCCTCAGATTACAAACCCATCACCCTCTTTCTCAGACAGTGCCGCCCAGCCCGTAGAGTCCTCTTTGGCCTTTCCATGGACTTTTCCGTTCGGGATCGACCGCAGGTTCCACTCAGAAAAAAACAAACTGTCAGAAAGCCCCCGCTGTTTAGACCAGGGAGCTGCAGGAACCTCTGAGGTAGTGGGTCGCCGTCTCAGTGACTTCCTGTCCTGTGAGAGCTCCAAGGCAGTATCGCCCCCTGTGGCTGCGGAGGAGGATGACGTGAGGGTGAAGGTGGAGCGTCTGAGTGATGAAGAGGTGCAGGAGGCTTCACAGGCGGTCAGTGCCTCCCAGAGCTCACTGAGTGACCAGCAGACCGTCCCAGGCAGTGAGCAGGTCCAAGAGGAGCTCCTCATCAGCCCACAGTCCTCCTCTATTGGTGAGAATCTGTTACCTTAACACAATTCTCATACTGATATTGTTCACTCAGATCTCACCTGGAAATCTAAACAGTTTAAGATGAGTACCATAAAGAATTACATAAAATTACTTAAAATACCCCCTAAAACGCCAGGCAACTTTATTTATATAAAGTAATTTAAAGTGCTTTACAGAATAAGAAAAAATCACAATACAACAAATCAAAACATAAAACAGTAATCATCATAACATTTGCATTAAAAGCGAAGAGAGAAGAAAAGCACTGCTGTAGGTGCACTGTGAAACTTCTGGCTGAGCGTCCACCTCCTGCTTTTCTCCATGGAGATGTTATTATTTTGCCTGTAATGTTTTACAGTATGTCATGTGTGTAAAGGTCTTTTATTGCAATAATAACACTTGCAGTTGAATATACAGTTTGTAAGATAGATAAGTATAATGACATTCCAGGAAAACCAATGACATCTGCAGGGAAACAAGCAGATGACAGATCCTCCATCACAAAAATGACATTGTGCACCTTTAAGAGTTATTTGTGACCCTTAAGGGTCAAAAGACCTACTTTTAATCATATTGGGCAGATCTGGTATTCTACCTGGCTCCAGATTTGTCACAGCAGCAATCTGACTGTGCTGGAAAACCATTCTTTTCCTCTGAGCCTAACCCTGCCTAAAGAGCCTGAGATGGAAACTTTTATTGTAGAGGCCCTAAATGCAGCTTAAAAGCATTCTATCCCCTGCCATAAACACAAACATGGAAACATCACTCATTTTTTCCTAAACACATGAAGCAAGTTAAATAGTTTCCTTGAAAATGGACTTAGTCCTAATAGACTGTATTTGTGTAGCCCCCTTCCAGCACAACAGCATTTTGTTGAGACTGTACTTTTTCGTCCTTTACAGGCTCCATGGACGAGGGCGTGTCAGAGGCTCTGCCATCACTGCAGGGCGCCTCAAATGCTGGAGGACACAATGAGGACGATGAAAGGTGCAGTTGTGTTATAACTTGCAGCAAAGCAATAAAAAGATATAAACATAAACCACATACAGCAAGTGCGTCACATCTATTACCATTATAAATTCACAAGCTATGCCAAAGGCACCATCACAATTATAATAAACTTGATGACCTGTAACTGTAGCTTTAAATCAATTATGGTTTAACTGACGCAGAGAAAGTTGAGTTGTGCATTTGTTGAAGCTTGTTTGATATGAAATGCTCTAAAATCTCCATGTTGCTCCTGTGTCTTCCAGGCTGGAGGGTATTCAGTATCCATATCACCTTTATATCAGTCCCTCAGCCAGACCTGGTACTAATGGTCCTGACAGGCCTTTTCAGTGTCCCACGTGTGGAGTCCGATTCACTCGGATACAAAACCTTAAGCAGCACATGCTCATACATTCCGGTAGGTAGAAATTAAATACACTTTGTATTTGGAATATTTAGTTTAATGAAGATCATTTTGCTGCAACCTTTGAAATGATGGATTTCTAAACTGCTGCTGCAGGGGAACTTATGAATGTAAAAATATGACATGGGGATGTCCTTTGCTGCACTTTGTATATAGCTTAGGTGATTCTAGGAAACAGTGCATCCATGGTGATAGTTATGTATGTTATATATATATCTGAGATGCTAAATTACAGTGCAGCTAAATCATTCAATGTCTGCTTCCTCCAGGCATTAAACCTTTCCAGTGTGACCGCTGTGGGAAAAAGTTCACACGGGCCTACTCCCTAAAGATGCATCGACTGAAGCACGAAGGTAAACGCTGTTTCCGGTGCCAGATTTGTAGCGCCACATTCACGTCCTTCGGTGAATATAAGCACCACATGAGGGTCTCCCGACACATAATCCGCAAGCCACGGATTTACGAGTGCAAAACATGCGGCGCCATGTTCACCAACTCTGGCAATTTAATTGTACACCTGAGGAGTCTGAACCATGAAGCCTCCGAGCTAGCAAACTACTTCCAGAGCAGGTGAGGAGTCTGTGGGTACTGACCCCATTGTTCACTCAGATCTCACCTGGAAATCTAAACAGTTTAAGATGAAAAATAAAGACATTTTCTGGAGTGAGGAAGTGTGACAATTAGGTCCACTTAAATATACTCTACTTCTCATATATTATAAGAAATATACATTTTGTTTTGTTTCTTTTTTAAGAATACAAATGACAACTGAGAATCAAATTTGAAACTCACATGTTTTTATACTATATAAATATCAATGTGTGTTAGTTTTTTGTAAGAGATATTTCAGAACCAATTAGAGGGTTGTTTTGCTCGTGAAAGCCAGAACACAGTGTCTTTATGAAGTGGAAGTGTGTTTTTCTTTCCCAGACTTTTCCACTTCTTAATCAACTCAAGCCCTCACAGGTCGGAGGACTCAAATGGGCCATTGACTCCTCAAAAGTTTTATAGTAGAAGGTCTCTGCCTGAGATCATAACAGTGTGGAAAATTCTCTGGCAGTCCACTCCGTCTCTTGGTCCGATCCACAGCCCTCACATAAAGAGACATGTTAACGACACTGGGCTTTTTTTAGAAAATGCTGATTTGCACAGATCAGGCTGCACTCTCGTCCACATGAGAGTCATCCTCATCTATTTATTATAGAAGCCTTTGTTCTCACTGTTTAATAACTGCTGCTCATGGAAAAGACCAATTTGAATTTCAAACATCAACAACTTTTTTATTGTGGATTTATGATCACAATCATTCCAGTTTGTTATATTACATATATTATGTTGTACATTTATCAAACCAAATTTCTCTTTAATAGCAACTTTATGCCATTGTCTTCAAGACAGTAAAGGTAAAAGTCTGTCTAAATGTCTGTAACCATGGAGGTGTCCTTCAATTTCTTTGGAATATTTCACAGTATGACATTACAGGTGTTTATATAGCTCATTAATACCTTGACAAAATTGGCATTCCTGCTGTGAGCGGAGTCACCCCTCCACGTCTATGACCTACAACTTGGTCTAGTAGGGTAACTATCATCTATATGATCTACTTGTCTACATGAAAGTAGATAATGCCATAATATGGAATATTCCAGGTTGGGAAAGTGGTTGACCCTCCAGTGAATAAGTTAGACAGTACACCTATTATAACACACACAAAAAAGTAGCAGTAAAAGTGCAGTAAAAAAAGTTGTTTTTCTTTTTATATCTCATTTGTATTTTGAGGCATTTTATTCAAACAATTCCTTCCTGGGCTGAAACCTGTGCTCCTGTTTGCAGTGATTTCCTCGTGCCCGACTACCTGAGCCAGGTGCAGGAGGAGGAGGAAGTGCTGGGAGTGCAGTACGACCCCCCTGTCCCCGTCCCGTACCCCGGCAGCTCTGTGAACGCCCCGTCCTCCTCAGTGCACCTGCCCGTCATCTCACAGGTCTCCTCCTCCACCCACCACTGCGAGAGCTCCTCAGGCTTCCTCTCTCCGGAGCCCGCAGACCAGCTGGAAGCTCCATCCAGCCCCAAGATGGCCGCCGGTGACACAGAGGACATGACGGAAGAGGTGAAAACTGAGCACAGTGTGGGTGACTGTTCCCCCGGGCTTGAGGAAAATCAGCCCGACCAGGCAAAGGAGCTGGCCCCCATTACCATCGAGTGATTCAAGTCTTCTATTTCTGTGCGCATGTCATGTGGGAATATGGTTCTACGGACAGAAAGAATTGTTGGGATGTTTGTCACATGTTGAAAGCATGTGAGACCACCAAGAATATGCCATAAACATATTTTCCTTTAATCTTTGAACACATCATGCATTCAAATACAACTGCAAATCATTTCTTTTCCCTTTTAGTTTGTATGTGAAGTATAGCGCTCTGGATAGGAGCCATGGAACAACCCAATAAGCTGATGGGTCACTACTGGTACATACTTTAATCACACTATATTGTTAAAATACTTTTGAATGAACGCTTAGCATTTAGCATCTTAAAATCTCCATTGGTTTAACATTAGGCTAACTGAAAATTCCTAGAGATGGGAGGATACAATCCCAAGCTCTATAAAGATTTTTGCTGTAATTTGGAAGCGATTTTGTAAAGGTTATTGATGCTTTCCCATATGACGTGAATGCAGTATTTTTCTTACCTGTTTTCTTGGTGGCTTAAAAATCCAAATTTTTGGAAAGTGCCTGCATCATTTAATTAAGAGTGAGGGGAGATGGCTGCCAGAGACAGGCTGAGCTGTAGGGATCCCGTGTTTGTGGTGACGCTTGTCTGTTTGGGCTGAGACCATGTTATTCCTTCAGTGCCATCTCTATAGGCAAACTGTTACATGTCTATAATATCTATACTGCAATAGCTTGTACTGTAGTTTACTCTTTGAATGCTGTGTGTTGTGAAGTATGATTTGTCAGATGTGTGTATGTGCATATCTTTTATCAGTAGTATGTAAATGTTAAAAACTTGAACCTATAAGGACAGAGTATTCATCATGTTGCAGTATTTTTCATCTTTCTAGCGTCAACATTCATGTTGCTAAATCTAAAACAGTTATGATTGTAATGTCACTGCTGTTGGTGTGTTTTATATTAGAGGAAAAATAGCAAAGAATGACATTTCACCCAAATGTGCTCCTCACAAAATATTTAATGTAGCATAATGCTTGTAAAATGCTAAGATTTCTATCTTTAAGCCATGCCCTTTATTTTTCAGCAGTTCCAATCATCTTTTTTGTCTAAATAATTTGTAGAAAGACTATTTGATTTTCTTTGTTTTAACAAATCATGACTGAAGTCCAGTCGTGCATCTGCAGTGGTAGCAGTAGCAGATGCTAGTAGATAGTAGGCCATTATATGGCCCATATTATTGTTTGCTTGGTAATGTTTGTATTTGTAATGCTTCTGAAGCAGTGGTGTGAATGCTAGTACTGTGAGTCAATAACATGATTATAACATTATGAGCCGTTTGTTCTGTTCAAGCTCTTTCTGTCAAACTAAGTTCAGTGCCAAAATGGCCGCAGTTATCGTGCCTATGTCGTGAACAGTAGTCTTTGTTTTCTCCCTCTCTGCTACAGCAGAATTTTAGACTTTGATACAAAGAGTTGAATGTAAATTATTGCTGTAATGAAGTGTCAAAAACACACTGACCAGTAAAATCTGTAAGATTCAAATGCACTTGTGTCACCCTGTGCCAGCCGATCTTTCCATAGTTGTGCCATTTGCCCATTTGCTGGGCACTAATCAAGCTTTTACCTGAAGGACCAAATGTTTTCTTGATGGGATTTGCCGAGGCAATCAGTATTGCACATGTAAAATAAAAGAGATAATCAAACCAAGTGGTCCACACTATTCAAAGGGTGCACTGACCCTACAACACTGTAAGATGTGGTGCAGTTCAGAGACTAGCCTTAGTACATGGACCTGAAACTCGAGTTGCACACCATCTAAATTTTAAAAGTTTAATTTTCCATTTGTACGTCATTCTTCTCATCTGTTGTCTGTTTTAAAACAACTTTTTACAATGAAATGCTGCTGTTTGATGAAACGCAAAAGTGCCCAAAATATTTTTGTGAACCACTGGTGTGCAATAAATGGACAGGTGTTGTTTTTGAAGTCACTTTTTGGTCTTCGATATATATATAGTAAAATGTCTTATAAAAAGAAGAATGTATTTTGTTTCAAATGTGACTGAGGTGAATTACAAACCCATGTGTGATCTGTGAAACAGTCTTTTAGACCAAGTGACTGGGTTTATTCAGCTTTTGTGTTGATTTGGTTGTTGCATGTCCATATACTGTAGTTGTGTGCAGTGGAGAGCATGTCTTCAGTTTGCAATGTTTTGGTCAAAGTTTTCTTCGTTAAAGAATCTTCATTAACCCAAACTTCAGTGTCCAGCATGCCACCTCTTTTCTGTATGTGCAATGTTTTAAACAATATTGATCCTGTCTGGGACATGCCTTTAATGTACACTTGATGTTGTATACGTTTTTCAGTCCACATAAAAATATAAAAGATGGTAGCCCACTTTAATTACATAAAACAATATCTATTTTTGGTGACTTTTGTATTCTGGTTGCTGTTTTATGGCATCTTTGGATATTCTTGTTAATGTGAATAGTACAGGGGCCTTGGTTGTCTTCACTTGTGACTGTCTGCAGTGTACAAAACAATCATACTACAAAGCATATACTGTTGGCCACCTGATAACTACCTGCTCTGAGGCAAATGCGTCATTGGTTCTGTATCTCAATAGAAGAGCCCGGATAGAGTTGCAGGCCGTATATTGAAGATTCTGTTTGGTGTTGAATGTTATAACTACAGATATGTACATCACAGCTGGCTGTTCTGACCAGACCACTCTGTATATGGGAGTTTATGGTTGTTCTTAATCTTTACTATAGTGTTCTGGCTTTGCTGTCCTGTTGTTACTGATAAAGACATGTTTTGTAAAAGTATAATATGTAAATAAAAGACTTAAGTCTCAATATAGTTGTGATTTTTATAAACAGATTATTTAATAAAGAGTAGACATGTTATCAACTCTATAAGACTTAAGGTTCAATCAGGATATGAACTCATTTAGAATAAAATATTTAATTTTTCATAGGTTATTGCCCTGTACAAAATTCAAAAGCCACTTCAGTGTTGTAGTTAAATTCTAAATTTTTCACAGCATCACAGCCTGAAAACGGATAAGGAAGAGATGTGTCAAAATGTGTTTTTCAAAGAATAAATTTATTACAGTTAATTACAATTAATAGTAATTTATTTACTGGTACCTTCAGTGTTTTGTATACATTTTCGATGTTGTAGATTATTCCAGAGTTGCACTTTTAGTCTGACAGTGAGATCTCAGCCCTCCCCCAGTCCCTGACAGGAGACAGGTGTGTGCATAAAGCAAAGTGCTCTTGGCCCCATTAGTTACCATCCCACAGACTGCATGCATTGTGTCCATTATGGCTTAGTTACATAATATTGGACTATAACTTGTTCCTTGTAAACTTTTACCACAGAGTCAGAAATGAGTTTGTTGATGCTTTTGTTTACATTTAGGGCTTATCTGTCAGTGCACAGCCTGGAGGGGGATTTTACACAAACTGGATACAGCCGTTTGTGAGGAGGAGAGTGATAATGCTACACTGGGATCGCGCTGCCAGGAAAAATAAAACAGTGCATGACTAATACGCATGTCATACATTCCCAATCAATGGAAGAGGTCGGATTCAATGGAATATTCCACAAATCACAAAGGAGCCAGATTCATTAGGTCTTTTGTATCTGCTGAAAGTAATACTTACATATTAAACTCTCTATTTGAAGAATTGACCTGAAGACCTGTGTAATGTTACTGGTCATTTTTGTGGTTTAAGTTGAATACATTGAGTCCCATATTTTCCAAGAGCCACAGACAGTGTTGAAAAGCTGTCTCTAAAGGACTGATTTGGTCCACTGGTGCGGCTCTGCTATCTGTCAGCCACAAGAACATCTAATAGCAGTGATAAAAGCGGTCAGAACTCAGCTGTTAGGGCCTAATTGGGTTTAATATGTTTCCACTACAGTCTAAGCAATGTAGAGCACCACCACAGACAAAGAACATCCAGTTCTTTTAGATGAGTCTGAGATGTCCTTCAGGTTTTCTCAATTTTGGAGAATCATGTTGGTAATTTTCATCGTACTCGCAAATATTTAGTTAATAATCGTGAGTTTTCTGGTCATAATATAAGCAAAAGAACTAAACAATAATAATCAACTATTTTAGAAGCAAAATTAAGTTTGTTCAGTAGAGCTAGGCAGTTTCAGGGCAGAAATCATCCAAATTATTCTAATGAAGGTGTATGGATTTTAAAACACAGTAGAGCACTTCTTGTATTACCACATGACACAGTCACAAGGTGAAACAGTGTGTATTCTCCTTAAGAGAAGAACTCAGCCTAAATATGTAGGGTGTGAATGGAACAAAACACAACGTCAGGTGTGTTTGTGATGAGGAAATTACATTCTAACAGATCAGAAGATAGCATATTTTGGGACCTTTTAAGTTGTACTATGTAAATTTTCTGTTGGTGACATTGCACCTGCTTATCTCCATTGATACATATATTGCTATGCCTTGAATGTCCCACTTTTTGGCATTAATCGTCGCTGTCTTGCATTTATTCAATTACAGGTGTTTATATTGCACAAAACTATTCTTGTGTATTGTCATGAGCAGTGTTACCTTTCCGCAGATCTGACCTGTAACTTGTTCTGGTGGCATCAGAACTGCTTCTCTTCAAAAAGATATATTACCGTGATGTTATTTCCCATAATAATCGTAACTCCATAGTAACGCTTTTTTTGTAAGCACTTGTTTTAACTACCATCTTAACACAGCAGCTCTTCTTGATGTCCTTAATGTTTTGGGAGAATTCAAGAGGGAATAGCAAACTCCAACCACTCCCCCCAGGTAAGATCTGAAACGAACATTTGAATATTATACAATGAGAAGTTCTATTGCTATCACATGCAAAATCTCAACACAAGTGTATTCTCCAAAGAAGTGATATGTTCCTGGGCAGAAACCACCTCTCTCTGCTGCAGGAAATTATAAGTGATCGTCTTCTGTCCTTTTGCCCATGCTAACATCCCACCTGCCAAACCAAAGCGACTCTTTTCAGTTTTCATTAAATCCGATCTTACACCACTGGCATCTCCAGCTCCAGAGTGACCCTGACACATGTGCCCGTCAGCTCTTCATGGTTAATTAACACTCATTATTACATACTGGCCTTCTCCTGAGCCATGCTAAATATTGATGTCGTATTTCTGCTGTCTGCCTGAGATTAGATAATTACTCTTCTGGTTTCACTCTGTCTCTATCGTCTTACTCAAAACATTGCCCTGTCAAACATTAATCCAAATGACCTGTGCCACCATGAGGCCTGACTTTCTCTGAAATGTAACAATTACTGTTCACAGTAAAGGGATTTCTTTGCATCTGACTCATATTTAAAAGCCTTTGGGACAAAGTTGCAGTTGACAAGGTTAAGTCTCTTTAAATCTACCAGTTGGTGGATTCCTACAACCCAAACACCAAAAATACCATGTTGATTATATTTTGTTTGTTTCTAAGGAAATGTTGTTCTTTGTCTTTAAAGGTCCTATATTGCCCAAAATTATGATATAAGAATGTTGTTACCTCATAAAAAACATACCTGGAGTTGTATTTTGTTTCATTCACCAACATCTGAGTCAACGTCTACATCCCCAAAGCTCAGGTGCTCTGTTGCACCTTGTGATGTCATGAAGCTGCAGTTTTCAACATAACACCTTTTACCTCTAGTTCAGAGATTAGCAATTCCAGGACTAAAATTATCCAATTAATTCTAGTGAAGGTGTTTAAAAAAGCAATCCCTGTCCTCCCTGTATTACAACACGACATCACAAGGTTGAGTGTTTTCTGTTTAAGAGAATTCCCCCTAAATATGCAGGTTTTGTGTGTCAAATGTGTGTAAATGAAACAAAATACAATTCCAGGAATGTTTTTGATGAGGAAACATTAGAACATAGATCAGAAAATGGCATAATATGGGCTCTTTAATCTTCCACAGTATGGTTCTCTATTTCCATGGAAACTTTTAACTTGCTCTCTGACAAAATGTATGTCATGTATGTAGTGGATACTATTCAGGCTATAAATATAAGACTCCAGCTGTACCTGTAAATCTTAAACAGAGAAAGACTGTACGAAGCAACATCTTCAGTGCCATAAATTTGAGCTCATATTTTTGGCTGTCTGATAAAATATGTTTGTTTTTAAAAGCGTTGGCCAATCCTTTACTTCAAAAAATACTTCAAAATATTTCCAAAGGTTACTCTACCTACCTGTCTGTCCTGAGGCACATTTTCCAAAAGCACCATGGCACAGTCCAATGTGTTACATAATAAGTCAATATAATGCATGTCCTGGTCACGGTACAGTGTGGTAGCAACCTTGACTTCCTATTTAATCCTCTGGGATGAGATTGTGCCTCAAGACTCCTGATTTCCACGAAAAGATCCACAGTCTGAACAGTAGCAGCACAGAGCCAGTCACAGATCTCTGTTTTAACTTAGCACCACAGATAAACCCAGAGTTTGTGATAATAGAGGACCTCGTGCTATACAGCGCTGGTCCTGATCCTGCTGCATCGGATATCGATGCTCTTGTCACTCTCTGCTCTGGTATCGGTTAATATCACAGTTCTCTGTGTGCACATTTGGCAAATTGTGACAGTTTTTTTAGTTTGACCTCATACTAATTATTTTCTACAATAAATTCATCAAAGAAGAATAAAAGTGGCCTTGGTATAAAATAAATCACATAACCAGGTCTATTTATTTTAAAGCAGACTGTTCAGCCACAACTGCATGCTTTGACAAAACTTAATATTGTTCACGTGTTTGTCCACTGATAGGAAGGTTGGCGGTTCGAATCCCGCTCCCTCATAAACATCAGTGGTAGAACGATCAGATCCACTGACTCACAGGATGGTGGTGCGATTCCAACTACCACAGATTAATAGCTGCTACTGTTACTGTGTCCTTGGGCAAGACACTTAACCCACCTCGCGCCGAGTGTCTGTGTGACTGGTGTATAACAGAAGTCCCGGGTACCTAAAAATCGCCGCAGAGAACCGTGGACACCGCGCTGCAGGCATGGCGCTGCAGAGGCGCACATGTAGCCGTGGCCTCCCAGTCCCGCCCGAACAGCGACTTTTCCAGCCGGAGACTGACGCAAAGCGCACAGTTGAAATCGGGTTGGTTTCCATTGCTCTTCTGATCAAGGTAAGTACTTAATAACACTTAATAATGGTTCTGCAGAGACGCGCAGGACGGGCCTCGTGAGTTCTTGGATGGTTAGCTTAGGTTTGTGTAGGCGCTGTTTTAATTTTGTTAGATCGTTTAAAGTCGTTACAAAGTCCCAATTATGCTCACTTACGGTTACATTTTAAAGCCTTAATGTTCAAAATCCAGACACCAGACACAAGTGTAATGGCTGTTTTTACGAGAGCATTTAATACCTATCTATTATGATCTGTTTCTTTGGGAAGGTGCAGATGTTTCTGGAATCTGCTCTTCTAAACAAAAGCAACAAAAGACAATTTTTCTTTATTTGCTTATCCACGCCATTTGTCTTGTCTTGCTGTTGGAAATCAGTAGGCCATTTTATTAACCATTATCAATCATTATCAGACTTGTAGTACTCGGGGGAAAGATTTTCAGATTAAATTAAGTACGTCTGTCTGGTAACTTTTATCGCATTTGATTAACTAAAGACTATATCGGAATTTCTCAAACATTGGTACGCTGGCTGTCTCTGGTGGTACGTGGGGCCCTCCGCCCTTTGAATAGGCCTATTTGTTTTATAGGCAGTGTTCTGGTTTCTGTTGTAATGTTGTTTCCTCATCATAATCAAAGCTGGAGTTGTGTCTTGTTTCATTCACACATGTTTAACACACAAACA